TACGGATGTTGTCTTTGCTAGAATCGTTGAAAGTTTTGTTGTCAAGTTGGTACTATGTGTAATCTATGGTATTCGAGATAAAGGGAGTTGTTTGCTCTGTTATTAGTGAAACAAGTTGAGAACAATGGAAGTTACGTAACTAGTTATTGCCTTGGAGACTGGGGGAGGAGGGAGTATTATTGGTCAGATATATATGGGTGAGCGAACATTGTTCTGAATTCTTGCGTAGTTACCGTATGAGTTGTATTATAGTAAAATAGATTAGAGTTTTTTTTATTGAATTTTGCCCCACACTGGGATTTTTTTCTCCTGTATCGTGGGTGCAGTTACAAACATACAAATTCACATACACAAGCCACCCAGACCCGAAACAACAATTTTTGGATCACACAGTTTTTCCGTGCGGGAATCCAACAGCGCCAACCTTGCAGAATTCAAACATATTGGCATAATTAACGCCATACGAAATTATTTCTACGATTACATTTTGTAATAATACGGCAGTATTTACGATAAACAAGTTGTACAAATAATACAATACAAACACCGCAAATCAGCTCCAAGCGAGCGAATCCATAAATATTTTATTACACAACTGTTATTCAAAACTTAAGCATTATGCGATAAATATACCTACATAATTAAATCAACATAACTTAGTTGAAAAAGTATTTATAATTAAAAAACTCAATTAGCCAGCCGGCAATGAAAGTTATCGCGAGTTTCTTAACTTTGTCGTCAGCATGCACGCAACCCAACTCTGAAACTGTTCCCCGCAAAATTTAAACGAGTAAAGTTTGTTTCAGTTAGCTTACTCAACTGTCCGGCGCCCCCCCTTCTCCCCTCCTCAGGCAGGGAGGGACGGAGGTCTGGGAGTCCTCCGGCTGATATAGGCGTGTGTTAGACACGAGACAATGTTACTTTGATCGTGCCCCTGTTTTATGAACGACATCAATACCAAAGAAGCGAAAATTCTTTGTTACTCATTCTATTGAAAGAAAATATAATATGGAATTGTTGAGGGTTTCTCTTTGTTCTTTGATTCGGTTTTCTTATTACATTCTTTTATATATATCATTGATACAATATTTTCTTAAATCACGACTGATAAATATGGTGAACTGAATTATATTTAGATACGTATTGATCGCAACTTGCCCTTTATCGCGATGTGAGTATTTCGAGCCCATAATCTTCAAAGAAACAGGAAAATCCTGTATAAAAATAAGCTCATTTTTGCTCCTCAATAATCTTATTATTTTAGGACTAAAAGGCTATTTTCTGTTCTATTGTTTACTCAAACACAATTTAGGACAATGAATCTAGCCGCCATTGTATGTTTCATTACTTAACGAATTAATTCTTAAGATTTCACAACGTTTTGAGCTTCTGCGATTAATTTGTCAAGCTTTTCAGTCACTGTTGTGATACAATGGCTCATTATAATTTTATACATTCTTGTTACGGAGCTAGGCTAACAAAAGCACAATTTATGTTTTCCGTTATAAGTATTTGCATTTTCCTTGGCGTCGTGGGGTGGGAGCCACGCCAGACGTTTCATCTCGGTTGATGGATACAGTATGAGTGCATTGTCTAGGGAACTAAAACCTTTCGCTTATGACCGCTTCGGGAAGCTTTACAGTTCGCAATAAAGCCACTTGCGAAACTCCACATGAATTTTTTGCCCGTTCGTATTTTGTTTTTATTTGGAAAATCCGGCGCTCAATTGTTGTTCGGTGAATGAACGAATATTTAATATTTGTTTTTACTCTCTGTAGAGTAGTGTAGTGCTTCGTTTTGTATTCGAATTTCTATACGGATGTGAGGTATTCGTTTACGTGTTTATCGGTAGTTATAGGATTGTTATGTGATCTTTATATGCTGGTTAGATCTCGGATAGTGGCGGTGCATTAATAAGGGTATTGAAGGTAATTGTTGGAGGTACCGTTAGAGGTAAAGTGCTTGCATGTGCGTTACCTAATACAGGCAGTATATTTGAGTAGAGGCGGAATAAATTCCGTCGGGCCTTATAGATAGGTGTAGTATCTAAACCTGTTATCTGCGGTATCATGAACTGGGAGCTAGTCGGTACGCTAGCAGGAAATTGAATGAGAGTCGAGAGAGACGCGAATGTGTGCCATAGCCGTAATGGTTTCCTGGTCGAGTACTAGCTACTAGCTATGTAGGTACAGCTTCTACAGACTAAAGCCATACAACGAACTTTTAATAGATTCTGCGAGATATGTATGTCATAGAGGGTATTTCGATTTAAAGTTGCGAATCAAGAGTTTGATTAGGTAAGTGCTTCGTATTTCTGTAAAATTTCCTGTAGAGCCATGTTCACAATATGACATAAAGTACGTAAAGCAATATCTAAATAGGTAAATTAATTGCACTCTGTATCTTTTCTTTTATACTTATATTTTCAAGATAGTTATTAAAGCTGGTACCTATTCACCATCATAAGCAGCCTATAAGTGGCTACTGTTCAGCGAAGGCCTCTTCTCACATAATCACGCTTGTTCAAAGCGGATTGGCGATTGTTTTACCTGACCTATGTCAGTGTTGTCTAAATAATCTTAAAAAGTACATATATGTATTTACATATGAAACTTGTAAGATTTGACGTGTAAAAGTGCCGTTTTAAGGCCTATTTGCAAAAATAAATTCATTGTTTCATTGTTTCATTGTTTCGAACCCTGGTCAAGGCCTTTGGGCCACCACGACACTACGAGTATTTATTAGCACAAGACAGTAAAAATCTCAACGCATTTTAAAGGCAAAGTTTCTAATACACAAACATGTCAACCGTATCGTAAACAAGTTAACTCACGAAGTGATATAATTGATGGCCATAATAAACTTCGAACTTTCCTTTGTCAGACCGACCGCTAGCAGGTTTAAAGGCTACGATATTAATTTCCATCAGTTTCGCAAACAAAAACCAGCTAAATCCGTCCCCAGATCCCGGGGCCACGGGCCGGTATTAATCACGACGTAATCTCACCAAATAGAGCGACCCGCGAGCAAAATAAACAGTAATGGCTGCAGGCAACGTTGCGTAACCATGCTGAGCTGTGCTGAGTCACCGCGCCGCCGCCGCCACGCTCATCAGTGCGTGACTTCACAAATACTTACCGCTTACGATTACTACGTAGCCTTTCCAGGCCATAATATCGGAAAATGATTTGACCGTGAAAAGGGCTTCATTGTGTTCCACTGTTTCATCCGTAAAGCGCTCTCATTCGTTCCACGATATAATGTTACGATACTGAGCTAACTAAGCAACGTTTCTGCTTCTCTGAATTACACTTGCAAACATTTAGAATCATGCTCGATACCGTCGCGTCGCCTTGAGCACCTCGTTATAAAGATACTAACTGTATCCTTTACATTTATAATTACACAATTGTTATTCCATTGTCTTTGTTAGGTTTGATGTTAAAATTCGTTGTTGCGCCCCACAAATAGTTTCAAGCTGTCCACACAGCGCGGGTGACCCTGAATGGTCCAATAGCGTTAGTTAGCAAACAGACGGATACAGTAGGTCTACATGTAGTATAACAGCCGTTTGTAGGGGAGATGGGGGAAGGGGGGCGGGTTCAACGCACCGGATACGTCTGTCGCCGGGCACTGGCGTTGTATGCAATACACTGGAACAGGTGTGCGTTTGATGTCAATGTGTGTGTTGTAACATTGACATAAATACTAGCGCAATCGTGTGCACGTTTAACTCCGCCGTACAAATAGGTATCCGAGTGTGTGTATGTGCTATGTAGATTGTACGTGTACGGTGAATTATTGCTGCACTTAACACGATATACGTGGGCAACTATACTAATGTTGATTTGTGGAGGTGCACCGTAATGTGGGGCATAATGTTTACATGTGATACGAGGTCGTAAAGGCAACTATCGATGTTCTGCATTAATTAATATATAAATACAGATTTATGTTCTCGTCGGAATTAGGTATGTGTGCTACCAGCATGCACGATGCTAATTAAACGAGTTGCCACATGCTACATAGATGCATAAACATTATACTTAAATAGGCGTTAAATAATGTTGAAATTGTAACAGCTCAAGTGGAAATTATTACTGTTAGAATTGATTAACATTTCTCATTACAGATAAACATAATCGACGTTAGTTTTTTTCGTGGTTTTTTTGTTACATAAATAAGTATATAGATACGAGGGGGAAATTGCTTTTGAGAAAGTTGGATCTATATTTAGAAGTACCTACTATTGTAGAAATAACAAAAGAAAGTCTTTAGCCAATACGAAGCCTGGTTTTGTAGCACTAGTAGCAAAGATTCAAGCAATAATAGTTCTTAACACAACAGTGGATTCTCGCAACCATAATCTAATATTAGAACCTTTTCTTTGAAGATGATGAAAATAATAGTTCTACGAAATTCATGAATTTCTAACAAAAATCTTGTGTTTTTTGTGGGAAAAGGTACCTACCTAAAGTTCAAGGCCTAGAATGTAATTGGTTTTGTTAAGCTGTTGGGAATTATGGAACTTAATCTCTTTCACCTTTTGACTGACAGTCGGTTAAAATGTCAAGTAAAAAAGCCATCAACGCTTTCATTATGATAGAACCGTTTAAATGGAATAACAGACACAATTAAGACGTCAAAGAAAAAAGGAAGAAAACGAAGCTAAACGGAGTTTTGTTCTTTTAAACATCCTACTTCTCCTAATACCGGAGTGATACCACGGGTTCACAGAAAATAGGCGTGAAACAACTACAGCGTTGTGTTTCGCCGTATGAATGAGGTTACCGGAGGCCCAATCCTTCCCATCATCCAATACCTAAATCTCCAAATCCTTAATTCCCAAAAGGTCGGCAACGCACTCGTTGTTGCGGGTGTCCATGGGCGGCGCTGATTGCTTACCATCAGGTAATCCGTCTGATCGTTTGCTGACCTATACCATAAAAATCGACATTCGTTACCTTCTAGACGTACCTGACCATGTCTCTTATTTCCAGGAATGGGACCCTAACCAAGCGGGAGCAGACGCTGGTCTTGATGCCGCATTGCTCTCCACTTTGTCTTCCGAGGCCGCAGACTGGCGAACCATACAAGATGGCCAGCGTATCCTGACCACTACTCCTTCGGTGTTGGGAGGCTGTAGAGCTCAGGTCTACCGGTCGGCTGGTGCCACACAATGGTATACTGCCGTCATCGTTGGAGTCAACGAGCATACTGGGGTGAGTATCATATTAAACAGACTTCAAAGAAAATTTGGCACGTTAATGAAGGTTTGCGAAGTTTATGAAGGTATTTGATATTAATATGACCTTCAAATTACTTTCTCATTCATCATGTCAGTCAGAAAACATCCACTGCTGAATATAGGCCTCCATTAATGACCTGTACTTAAGCCAGTGGATTTATTTTTAGATTCACTTAATTTCCTCTAATTATTCGTAAGGTTAATTGCGTTTAGGTTTGTTTTCTTGCCTCGTTTATTGAGTAGTAAATAAATCAATCAATGACATATAAAATGTCCGTATTTTTTATAATTAAACATTGCATTAATTCATACTTATGTATCATCACATACAACATAACATAAACATGTAATTCAACTGTTAAAAACACTTAAGAAATAAAAGAAAATACTTATACGTACAGTTTTAATAAAGATAAGATTTTGTGTAGTTGTTCAACTTCTGTTTATGTTCTTGTCTTGTTCAAGATCAAATCGTTTTCATTTATTTATTTCAACAGTTTAACAAAATCCATTTACTTTAATGAGAGGAATACTCGAGAGAATTTACTTCTTATCGCATAGCTTTAAGCTTTAGCCAACAATAGGTCCACCATCTCAAAGGAATACCTTAAATAATTAAGTGCAGGTGAGCACTATAACATGTTCAGTGTACAGGTAACTGTACAAGGAATTCTACGAGATAATTTCGAAGCGGGAAGTTCTGTAGAGAACCAGTTTAGTTTATTGAACGCGATGGCATCCGACAACGATGTTCAATTTATAAGGGCGCTCATAAGTAACGAAACAACTTGAACAGCGTGTTCGTTACTCGATCAACATGTACAAACCAGTTCTGCAGAACGTCGTGTCGCGCCATAAAAGACTACACGGAATCCTGAACTTCCCACATGCTACCAATTATAACGCTGCCTCTGTATTGGTCCAACGGCGCCCGTTGGATATGTACGAAACCCGTTCACCTCTTATTGATGGATAGCCGAGTACTTCGATGGAAGTCGTTAATTCGAAGGCGGGTATGGACGTGAACATGGTCGAATAAGTGCCGATGTCGAGCGTCCTGCAGACGTATAAGAAGTTAGTAAAGCAGCGACTCAATTAATGTCGACAGCGTCTATGTGAGGTTACTCTGATGGAGATTTAATTGAATTCTGTGATCGATGTGTCATGCGTAGCTCCAAGTACTGTTCGATTAATTGCAGCCCATTAAATTGTCTTTAATGTCAAAGTTTGCCCTACAGTTGTTGTCCTATCCAAACTAGTCAAGTTGAAACGAATTATTCTGACGAGAACGAAAACTAGAAAACTTTGGAGGCGTACATCAATGTTTGTGAAAGTAGTGTACTTTTAGTTAACAACAATAATACCCTAAGGGTTCAAAATTTTCGCATGTCTGCTTCGGGTTTAATCTATGCGAGCAGCGAGAGCTTGTTGTAGTTGAATATTAATATCCATAATTCAAATTCCACCCGTATAGTACTTGAAACGCCAACCGTACATTGTTTGCGGATCAAGGCCGGCTCACGATATTAACTGGGATTCAGCAACAGCTTAACTTGTTACATAATAATAGTTTCCCATGTAAACTCAAGTATCATGTACCTTACCTTGATATTCATTAGCGGGGAATGTAAACAAGTATCGAATGAAAACGTATGTAAGTACATTTAGTAGGTACCATCACTTACTTAGATATAATGGTCGTAATGAAAAATTCATGCTTACGTCTTGTGAAATATTTATTGTAAACGTTGCCAACGTTTAATATACATTTCAAAACAACTCCAATGATGGATCATTTTAATAAATTCCTTCAAAAGAATACATATTTTGTTTGCGTCAAACAGTAACAGCATACTCAGATATTATCAACTCCTAGAGGTATGTTATTATTTTGTACCCAACGTTTTTTACAAGCAGAACCGCTAACCACATTATCTGATACATATTTATTACGGCCATCGGTCATAATTATTTATGAGAGGAAGTTGTAACCGTCTGCGTGTTCGTTCTTGATGCTTATTAATTTATTATTGTACAATCATTTCCTTTAATTGCTTTAACACGTTTTAGGATCAATATAAGTTAATTAAATACTTGAATAACGTGAAAACATTAATGAGATTCACTTTAATCAGGTGAGGTAATCCATATCGTGTTGAAGCAATTCATTATGTTAGCTTAACAGTTACTGTATCGAAAATACCGTGGCGCGTGGGTAGGTCGGGAGGGCCCCGTTCCTCCCCATTCACCCCTTCACTAACTTCTCTAAACAAACTTTGTTGTTTTGCGTTATTGAAACACTTTATTGTTTTTCTTTCATCTCCTCTCCTTTGAGGATGGCGATGTCGAACTTGTATTGTTCGTATCTAAACGAAATGTTACTGTTTGGATTGCTTGTTTAATGTTTTTGTTTTGGGACTATTTGGTTTAAAATGTTTTGGCAACTTTTCTTTGTATTGTCTATATTATTTATGTTTCGTGTTTTGGTTTTCTTGTTCTTAGTATCTCTGTTGCGCTGTTTATGTCGTATGAATTGCATGAGCATTTTATGGACGTTATATATTTTCCTTAAATTTAAAAGTCAACATTGTCTTTTTCCATAAATTCAGGGGTTTTGAGAATAATCAAAAATAAAATAATATTATCAGAACCTATTCATGATTCATCGCTGAAATTGTTAAAGTTTTCTCGGCGATTTTCCTCGAGAAATGTTAATAGATGAGATACAAAATGAAGTGGCCTCATGTTTAGTTAAGAAGTTTCACAATCCGCCCGACTCCTACCCGCCCTGGTTCTGCAAGGTGATTGTGAACTGCCAACTACAATTATTACAATTACTCATCAAACTCTGCACAGACTCCGTCAGAGTTTTGGAGTACTTCAATCTATCTGGAACTTTGCTAAGTAATTACAGTTAAAAAGTTGAGACGTTAAACAAATTTATACTGGGAATTAGCGAGTGGAAAACTTCGTTCGTACTTGCTCGAGTTCGTATTACTGGCGTCCGAAACGTCGAAGTTTTGAGTAACACCCTCATCCAACCCCCTTTCCTTGTTTCGCAAGTAACTTTCTTAAACTTACTTCTTTGTTGCTACCAAGTTTGTGTCTAACTTTGTCTGACTGTCGACATGTTTATCGACAACTCCATTTGTTTATTCTATTGACATGGCGAGAATCGTTTTCATTTTATTCTTTTGAATTTTTTCATTCGTCACTATTCAATTATTGATCTATTTTTACTTACGTTGTCAAGGTGTAAATATTTTAACTTAGTAAAATGTCACAGCGGTGTCACAGAATGATCCAGATCCTATTTCTTTGCGGCTATGTAATCGATTAAACTCCTTTTAGGTGGATAAGTACGTTCAAGGTTACATTCGCCTATAACACCTGTACCCAGTCGCCGAGCGACATAAAACAGAGGCGTATTTGTTTACGCCATCTTCTCCCGAACCGAAGTCGGGCGTGAGAAAGTTTAGATGGGAATTTAGGGAATCTTGTTTGCTTACGAATATAAAACACCTGCCAAACTTCGTGTTTTACTTCCAAAGAAATTGCTTATTTTTATACCGAGAGTATTCTTGTTAGTACGATGGAATGGAATTTATTAATAACATCGATGAAAGAGCTAAATTAAATATTTATAAGACGGCCTTTTTGGCTTCTTTCAAACTCGTTTACAAATTCTGTACGGAATCTTATAAATAAATATCAAAAGTATTAACTATCGAGTAACCAAGCAGCTCTAGGAAAATTCGATGTCTACGTTTTGCACTAGATGGCGCTAGTAGTGTCGAAACGAACCATGTTCGAAGCAAAGCAGACGTGAGGAGTAATAACGGTATCGGATCATCATAGTTGATCGTATTTCCATATCTGGTTCTATAAACAAGGCAATTTCTGTGAATCCGGTTATACGTAGATGTTTTATAGACGAAATAGAATAAAATAAAATTGTGTTTTGTTCACAGGAGCTGACTGTAACAGATGATACAGTTTTGGAGGAGCACAGCGAAGACCCATCGCTGGTGCAGATGAGACTCCTAGGCGATGGAGGTAATTACAAACTATGTTTTCATTACCTCAAATACACTACACGGACTATTCATTCGAAAAGCAATCAACCAATGGAGTCGAAACAATGCGAAACTGTTTCCCTTTGTCGCATTACGCACCATTATTCTGGTTAACGATTAAAAGGATCGTCATGATTGATTACGATAACATTTATGTGGGTACATGGAAACAATGGGATCTGGTTACATAACCTACACGCTGCAGTGAACAATCTTCGTCCAGCCATCTGTGGAACAATGGCTGGGTTTCACCACGCACAGTTATGATTTATTCTTAATGTGTTTTTAAATAGATATCGCTCGGCTTGTTTTAAGGTCGACATTAAAAATGTATATCTTAACTGCTGACCCGATTAGGAGACAACGCATAAACAAGCGTAGGTATCTCGTTTGACTCGTACACACGACCTTTGTTCAGAAAAAGCCACAAAAGTCAATTAGCCGAGTCTTTGAGCCATTTAATTTAATCTAATAATAGAAAGTTTATAACTTGAGATTGTCTTTTGTTAAGTTTGTCTGAGAATTTATTAAGTACACGTACAAGTTTCATTTAACAATGAACATAGCTCGGGGCATCGGAGAGCTATGAATGCGAAGATATCTTTTATAAATCGATCCTTTGTTTAGATAGCAGCTGACAGACTAATAGCAGTGCATTATTATATTGTGCAACCGTGTGTGCCAACGGCTATTGCAATGAGAACTAAGGATGGGTGTTGTAAATACTTTTACGTGCATAATTGGATTGAAACCTTAGTAATTGACGTTGCAATATTATGCTGCGAGGAATATGCGCTTACAAATGGCTTAGATCTAATAAGAACAGACTAACATCGGAAGAGACAATTATGTAAGACATATATGCAAGTGTATTATTAGAAGTAAAACTAATAAAATAATTTTAATTAACTAAAAGAAGTTTTTAAATTCGATCGAATAACATAAGGCTAGGCTAAGGCAGACTATATGGCAACTGTCTTTGAAGAAATTCATACTTATTTCCGTCACAAATTCTACTTACTTGCGTCTTCTTGTATAAAGCTATTTGTACTCCATACATCCAATGTTGACTTCACCTTTTTTTTTTCAGTAATCGAATCGATTATGAAGGGAGAGGTGGTGGGCGTAATGCCACGAAGATCCCGCTCCAACCTCCAAGTAAGTTGACTAGCTAATAATCTGTCTTGAATATTTAATTAAGTCAGAGATCCGAGCTCCGGCAGCATAAAGGAAATTTACCCAGTCTCAACGAGACGATGTTTCTGTAAGCTAACTGTATTACGTTCAATGTTCAATGTTCGTGTGCCCACATTACTCCTTACTTACCGTCATTCTTATAATTAAATTCTCACAGATTTCGTTGCGAATTATAGAAGACATTTAAATATAGTCCATTACTGCAAACTTCGTAATACAAACTGAGTTGGAATTTACGTTATAGTAGTTCTAAATGTGAACAACGTAACTACAGTTAATTTCTTCAAAGTAAACAAAATTTGGTTGTGCCGAGCCTACTTTAAAATGTGCGTAGAATGCAAATTAGTTAAGTGTATATGTATGTTTATTCAAGTAGCGTGTGTCTGTCTATCCGTTGGTTATTTTGGTGTTCATGTCGCGACAAGTCCCGGCGCCTGATGACGCATTCGCCGCCATTATCCTGAACCCGCACCGGTTCGGCTAAATATGGTATAAGTGACTAACTGGTAGGTGTAGCTACGATCTCGTTGGATGTTACTTATCGGGAATTAGATGAGAATGAATCGTAAGATTAAGTTGATATAGATGTTCTTTACGAAAACAATGATTTTGTAACAACAAAAACTGAGTCAGGAAAGATGCAATAACTTTATATTAGAACAGAAAACGTAATATTTGATACTATAGTACAAATCGTCGTCGTCTCCAGCCATACGCCATTGTGCTCTAATCCACTAAACATTTATGACAACAGTGTTGTAGACTTGTAGTCAACCGCAAAATGTTTCCAGAACATTGTTCCAATAGAAACAAGCTCCGTCGCCCAAACTCCAAATTCTAAACGATGGAGTTTCTGCACTACTGAACTCATTTGAATATTGGAATAGTCTCGTACTAAGAAGTTTGGCTCTCGTATTGTTTTAATGTTAATCAAAGGTTTAGAGTAAAGACACAAACGGAATACGCCATTTGAATATTGAAATACTTATATATTGGCTTTACAACTTCTCGGGAGATCCAAATATAGTGCGAGTACGGTTACAAGTGTAAGATAATTAGATTTCAGTCCATAAATATGTCCACTCTAATTTTGATTCTGAGTGGATGTATTTGTGTAGTTAATTGAAAGGGCTTTCGCTAATGCAATGGAGTGGATATTATTTTCTGCTAGTTAAAATGCAGATAACGATTGCCTTTTTATTTGACTGCAGATCTTCGCATTTGTTAGGAGAAGGTGTTGATTTTTTCATTCTGTGTCTGTATGTGTATTATCATCAGTAACATCATTTTGTAAAATAATTGCGTATACCTTGGAAATACAGTCTATTTCTCTATTAGCTTTATTGTGTAGAAACTCTAGAAACCTCTGTATCACATAAATTGCTGTATCCATTACTTTATCCTTACATGAAGGATAAACAGCAATTTTACTTCCACGTTTAAGAAAATCGAAGACCTTGTAAACGTCTGAGATACTTCGGATTTTATTTTTATTAAAATATTTGTCTTGCTCAAGACAAGGTCCAAGGTCTTAAAGATCGGGCGCTCCAAGGTCCCGACATTCACGAAGGACGCTTCTTCTACCCTCAGATGGAATTAGTTCTGAATAGGAATGACTAATTATGTGGTTCACCTTCAGATAATCTTGTCTTTCTTCTCAAAACCTTATAGACTATAACGATGTTACTAATCTTGTTATTCTACGAGAGTGATTGCGTTTTAGGGTCAAATCAAAGTTTTGTTAATAGACTAAGTTTTGTTTCGTTTTCTTTGTCTCTACGTTAGACGTAGTTTAAAATATTTTTAATAAGGTGTGTGTTAGGGTACTTCATAGCATAGCATGGGTTGTAACACTATTTCATTACACATACGTGTAATGAAATAATGTTATCATCATATAAAATAATTTAATATATACAAAATACAGACATATTTAGATTCGTAGAACTTAGATAGTAAAACCAAAATGTAAATTTGAAGAACAAAGAACGGTACGAATGTCCAGATAATAACGGTATAGTAACAACAGATACAGATTTACATAAAACGAAGACAAAGAAAGTCGTCAGTAACTACGCAGTGACCCATTCAAGCCTCAGGATGTGTAGTTATTATTCACAAAGACCAATCGTTGTGGAACTCGGACCTCCGAACTAGTGGATACCTTTATTTTGTAGGTCGGTCTATCAGCCTCGTGGAAAGGGTCTCTTTAAACTGGTCCTATTTAGAACACCCACACTTACTTTCATATTCCTTTGAACCCATATACGAATGTACCTATTTGAATAATGTTTGGTCGAGAACATAAACGAGGTCTTGAGTCTAGCAATTATATTATGTAGTTTCTGTGTAAAGAATCTCAAATAACATGATTAATTAGCTTTCATTGCCATACTGGATGAAATATCTGTTTTACATTTAAATTGGCATGTCAAAAGTAATAGGGTTTTGTATCGTGAAACACACTTATCAAAGAAATGATATTGTAAAAAATGGGAAGTATAGTCGTCTAATTTCGTGTCACTCTCTATAAAACATATTTCTTTTTGAAAGCTAGGAGGCAATGAGTGAGATTTATTATTGCATTGTACATGGACGTCACGTACAGCCGTGCAATGGCCGATAGTGCTCATCTCGTATGCCACCACTACACTGGGCAATAGATCTCATCTGACCATGTTTGCCGCACCGAGCCGGCGACACGCGCCTCGTTCGTCAAAATAGTCTTTCAAAATACCACTACACAAGTTAACAATGTCAATCAATTCTCCAACAAAAGATCTCACTCGAATATCCAACAATGACGCTAACATTGTTTAGCTTCGAACAGTGCACTACTTTCCACGTACCAAAATATGAAAAAGACATTTGAAAGCTCTTGTAGTTTGTGACGTGAATAATTCACATCACATCCACTCCGGCCGGCAACAAAGCAGTCAAAACAATCCCACATTTGCATACCCAACGGAAACCTAGTTTGACATTCATAAAGGCACAATTTAATAATTTATGCTCAATTAGTGCAAATTCTTGCTCCTCTTACCTCTAATTTTAATTCACCCGAAAATTCAGCTCGACGTAAATCCTGCAAATAACGCGATTAAGCCGAACATTGCGCTCCGATTTGACAAAGGGGGGAGCGTAACAATTCGCTTCGTCGCAATTTGTCTGGTTCAGTGACCCTTTTCGGAGACATGAGTTTTCTCCCGGCTCGAAACCCATAAACAATTCATCTTGCGAAATCTACGCACAGCGATAGTAGATCTGAACTGAGCCATTATGAATGCTCTTAGACTATCGATTCAAAAACTACATTCAAACAAATCATCTCCACTTCTCCCCCTTGCCGCGCTGTAATAGCACCGTCTCTTTCCGCACGTGAGTGGAATGTTAAACTGTAATCCTAACTCGAGTTGTTCCTGCACGTTCCACGAGAATACTAAAAGGGACTTTGAAAAGTGCACTTTTAGAGTGTTTTTAGTTTGCACGCGACAACTTAAAGTGCAGGTGTTCCGTGATCGTGAAACGACCATTGCTTAGCTCTTTTTCTATTAACTTTCCAGAATTGAACGGTCAAGAAGCATCTGGAATAGCTTTTTGTCTTACGCTAGCCCCCACTTGTTATAAAGATATCAATCGAAAGTTGGCGCCGGTTACGTCGTAAACATTTATTTACAACTCGTTCTAAACTTTGCTAATGACCTGGTCTTTGGTGTGGGAAATCCGGTTAGTCACGATCAAGCAGTATGCAGTAATTTACTAAATGAAAACATTGTTTGACGTAATCATTTTGGCAACCTTAGCTATTGCTTTGTGCTGCTTGCGAGCGCGACTCTGTAATAAATCTGACACTTTTGCAGCTGTTGAAAATCGTTAGATACGGATTATAAAAAAGATTACTTAATACATTTTATTTGCACTAGTTTTTATAGCCCTATTCATTTATGTATATCCCATAAACAAATATAGCAAACAATTTATTGGTACTACATAAACAACTAATAATTTACTGTGCATTTTAATTATTGTCCTATCACCTTACATTTGTGTTAAGGCAACCAATTAAAACTATATTACCCAAGATACAATTTTAAATATTTACGACTGGAGTTACACAATTCGATTCAGCTAGCAATTAATAACGAGCCCTTACTAACTTTAGAACCAGATAATATATTTGGATTGGAGGTCGTAAACATTATTCATAGTAAAATAATGATAAATTATTTTGTGTTTGTTAAAGACCGCCCGCCCACATGAGTATTAGATTTTCTGAGAGACATTGTTAAACGAAGACTAGAGGATAATAGAAAAGGCCAAATAAAATACATTCTAAACATAAAATGTATTCAGTTGTTGTTAAACTTATAGATGTATATGTAGATATATTAAAGACGTAAGGAAGTTTTGCATTCGTACTAACATTTCAGAGAAACCATTTCGAGTTGGAGAACTGCCAAGAACAACTCTTCACCTCCTGGTCAATTCAAATAAATTATCATTTGAGACTGAGTGTTGATAAACACGAACACAAGTGAAATGAAAATTTAATGATATTTCTTGTTGAAATATAAACATCTATTTGTAGGTCTTCTATTAAACATTATTTAGGGTAAAACTCATACATTGCTAGTAGTAGAACTTTGAATCGATGTAAAAGTTATTAATGGAAATTTCCCAGGGGAAATATCACAGATAAGCCAGCTATCGGTGGCACAAGTTAAAATAACGTTCGTGTTTGCTCACATAGCGTTATTTGAACGGCAAATATATTCATAAAACACATTATAGAGAATGCTGTGAAGTTCGGTGTCTATTGGACGGTAAAAACGATAAGTTTACAAAATGGGAATAGATTGAAAATAGAGCGCGGCATGCAAATTCAATTGCAGAGTGTGCCGTATCGCAGCATGTTTAGGAAATGTAGGGCCCTTGGTTCTCGAACATCGTTCTCGCGTCGC